GATTTTTTTTGGTTTTTTTTGGGATTTTTTCGGGGTTTTTTGGGGGATTTTTTGTTTTTTTTTTAATATTTTTCACATTTTTTGGTTTTTTTATAAAATTTTTTGGGTTTTTTTGGGATCGTTTTGGGGGTGGGAAAAGAGAGAAAATAAAGAAATAAAATAAAAGAATTTGGATAAAAAAACGTCCAAAATGTTTCTTTTTTTTGGGGTGAAAAGGAAGGAAATCGGTAAAAACGTTAAAAAATGAGGAAAAAAACGGGAATTAAATGGATTTAAAGTGAATTTTTGGGGGTTTAAAGTGAAATTTTTGGGGTTTTTGGGGATTTAAGGTGAATTTCGAAGGTTTAAGTGAATTTAAATTGAATCAAAAATGAATTTTTTGGGGTTTAAAATGAATTTTTTGGGTTTTAAAATGAATTTAAAGTGAATTTTTGAGGATTTTTACCGTTTCAAGGAGAATTCTGGGGTTAAAAATGAGATTTTTGGTGTTCAAATCGGATTTTTTGGTGCCAAAATCAGATTCCCACCAGAATTTCGGGGCTAAAAACCCAAATTTTACCCAAAAACCTCTTTTTTTTTTTTTATTATTTTTTTGTTATTTTCCCAAGGATTCCCACCCCGATTTTGGGGCAAAAACTCCCAAAATAAAAACCAAAGAAAAAAAAAAACCCAAATTTTTTCCTCTTGCTCCAAACCTTTAATTGCGAATTTCCCCAATTTTGGGGATTTTTGGGAAATGCCAAAATCTGCTGAAAATGCCCCAAATTGGGGGGGCGGGGCCTCACTTGACGAAAACGACGCCGGCGTTGCGGGAGGCGAGCCAGGCCAGGAAAACGTCCCTGGAACGGGGAGAAAAACGGAGATTTTGGTTAAAAAGTGGGGATTTTGGGTAAAAAATGACATTTTTGGGGGAAAAATGGCGATTTTTGGGGCAAAAATTGAATTTTTTGGGGTTAGAAATGGAGATTTTTGATTAAAAAATGACATTTTTGGGGAAAAAATGGCGATTTTTGGGGCAAAAATTGAATTTTTTGGGGTTAGAAATGGAGATGTTGATTAAAAAATGACATTTTTGGGGAAAAAATGGCGATTTTTGGGGCAAAAATTGAATTTTTTGGGGTTAGAAATGGAGATGTTGATTAAAAAATGACATTTTTGGGGGAAAAATGACATTTTGGTTAAAAAATTGAATTTTTTGGGGTTAGAAATGGAGATTTTCCTTAAAGAATGACATTTTTGGGGGAAAAATGGCGATTTTTGGGGCAAAAATTGAATTTTTTGGGGTTAGAAATGGAGATTTTCCTTAAAGAATGACATTTTTGGGGAAAAAATGGCATTTTGGTTAAAAAATTGAATTTTTTGGGGTTAGAAATGGAGATTTTTGATTAAAAAATGATATTTTTGGGGGGAAAATGACATTTTGGTTAAAAAATTGAATTTTTTGGGTTAGAAAATGGGGAGTTAGGGTAAAAAATGAGGATTTTTGGGTCAAAAATCCAATTTTTTGGGTAAGAAAATGGGGATTTGGGGAAGAAAACGGTGATTTTTGGGGAAAAGATGGGGATTTTGGGGAAAAAAATGGAATTTTTGGGTCAAAAAATGGGATTTTGGGAAAAAAAATCGGGATTTTGGGCTAGAAAATGGAATTTTAGGGGTCAGAAATGGGGATTTTGGGTCAAAAAATAGTGTTTTTGGGATTCAGAAATGGGGATTTTGGTTAAAAAGTTGAATTTTTGGGGTCATAAAATGGGATTTGGGGAAAAAAATGGGGATTTTGGGTCAAAAAATGGGGATTTTGGTAAAAAATTGAGGTTTTGGGTAAGAAAACTGCATTTTTTGGGTAAGAAAATGGAATTTTTGTGTTGGGAAATGGGGATTTGTGTTAATAAATGGAATTTTTGGGTCCAAAAATGGGGATTTCGGTAAAGAAATGGGGATTTTGGGTAAGAAAACGGAATTTTTGGGTCAGGAATTGGGGATTTTGGTAAAGAAATGGGGATTTGGGGTCAGAAAATGCAGATTTTGGTCAATAACGCACCGGCAGTGACGCACCAGGCACAGCCCCGGGGGATTTGGGGTCAGAAAAGCTGAATTTTGGGTCAGAAAAGCTGAATTTTGGGTCAGAAAAGCTGAATTTTGGGTCAGAAAAGGTGAATTTTGGGTCAGAAAAGCTAAATTTTGGGTGGAAAAGGGATGATTTTGGGTCAGAAAAGGTGAATTTTGGGTGAAAAAAGGTGAATTTCGGGTCAGGACTCGCTGGCAGTGGCGCACCAGGCACAGAACAGGAGGATTTTGGGTCGGAGAATGTGGATTTTGGGTCAGAACAGGATAATTTTGGGTGGAAAAGGGATGATTTTGGGTCAGAACAGGATGATTTTGGGTGGAAAAGGGATGATTTTGGGTCAGAATGTGGATTTTGGGTGGAAAAGGGATGATTTTGGGTGGAAAAGGGATGATTTTGGGGCAGAATGTGGATTTTGGGTGGAAAAGGGATGATTTTAGGTCAGAATGTGGATTTTGGGTGGAAAAGGGATGATTTTGGGTGGAAAAGGGATGATTTTGGGTGGAAAAGGGATGATTTTGGGTGGAAAAGGGATGATTTTGGGTCAGAATGTGGATTTTGGGTGGAAAAGGGATGATTTTGGGTGGAAAAGGGAGGATTTTGGGTGGAAAAGGGATGATTTTGGGTCAGAACAGGATGATTTTGGGTGGAAAAGGGATGATTTTGGGTGGAAAAGGGATGATTTTGGGTGGAAAAGGGATGATTTTGGGTGGAAAAGGGATGATTTTGGGTGGAAAAGGGATGATTTTGGGTCAGAACAGGATGATTTTGGGTCAGAACAGGATGATTTTGGGTGGAAAAGGGATGATTTGGGGCAGAACTCACCGGCAGTGGCGCACCAGGCACTCGCTGCTGCAGAACTCCTCGTCCCAGTCTCCGCTGGCCACGGGCGCGTTCTCGCAGCCGGCCCTGACGCAGCGACTGCGCGGGGACTCGGCCGCGCCCGGCGAGCCCGGCACCAGCTCCACCCGCGGGGGGGACTCCACCTGAGACCCCAGACCCAAATCCTGATCCCAATCCCAAATCCTGACCCAAATCCCAAATCCTGACCCAAATCCTGATCCAGATCCCGATCCAGATCCCAAATCCTGACCCAAATCCCAAATCCTGACCCCAGATCCGGCACCAGCTCCACCCGCGGGGGGGACTCCACCTGAGACCCCAGACCCAAATCCTGATCCAGATCCTGATCCCGATCCTGATCCCAATCCCAAATCCTGACCCAAATCCCAAACCCTGACCCCAGACCCAAATCCTGACCCCAAATCCTGACCCCAAATCCCAAATCCTGACCCAAATCCTGATCCAGATCCTGATCCCAATCCCAAATCCTGACCCAAATCCTGATCCCAATCCTGATCCCGATCCCAAATCCTGATCCCGATCCCAAATCCTGACCCCAAATCCTGACCCCAGACCCAAATCCCAAATCCTGACCCCAAATCCTGAC